ATATTATCTACAGAAGATAGATAATGTGAGTTATGTAATCGTGCTTAATGCTTTTTTTTTTTTTTTTTTTGTGGTGGTGGTCACCGGTGACCCCCCCCCAAGGCTCTGTAGACCATTATTGCGATTTATAATTTAAATTTTTACGATTTAATATTCTTCAAACCATTATAGTAACAATGGTACTTTTTAAAAATTTATCAGTATCGATATTATGTATTTTACTATTGCTCGCGTCGCCGGTCACCGGTGGCACCCACGGCATTCAACGTGTTAAAGAACTTGCTAAAGAAATCAGGAAAAAACTCATTTTATGGTTTTTCGTGCACTTTTTTTTTTCAGATTGAATAATATCTCGTTTCTAAAGAAACTGTATGGAAGATATTTCATCATTAGGCATGTCCAAATTTTCAAATCCATGGTCAATACGATAATAATAAAAACACAAGTGACCGTTACATCTTTGGAATTTGCATTTTCTCGTTGCCAATTTTGAAAAGAGATTCTTTTAAGTTTTCTTACAAAAAGTTAACATTGTAACGATTTTAGAAGTGAACATTGGAGACTTCATATAAACCAATCTCTTGACGAGTTTAGGAAAAGATTTGACGACGATTCCGGTCCCGGTAACAAAACAAGACCCAGAATTTGATGAAATCGGTTTCAACTTTATAAGCCAAAAAGGTTCTGTGGGAAAAAAATGTGATGTTTTGTACCGTCCTTGAATTTTTGGGGCTCGGGCTTAGCTTTCTGGAATCTTGAACTGCATATCTCTGTTTCCGTAGTTTAGTTGTGATTTCATGTTTTTTGGGAGCACGGCCGGCTCACTGGTTACCTCGCTTTTCGTTAGATGGGTCTGCCTCTCGATAAGCCATATGGCCGGCTTGGGTGGCTGGGCCATTTAATAACCGTTCTTAAGCTCTATGTGGGGCTTAATGGCTAAAGCCCCGAAACACTGGTGGCTTGCGCTGTTTCGATTCTTACGCTGGCTACATGAGTTCTTAGTTATGTTTCTGATGTAGTATAAGATAGTTTTCTGTTAAAAAGTTTTCTATAAATGTTCCCTCCCAGTAAATTAGTAGCTTTCGTATGCTTACCCATAATGAAAATAATCTATTGGTCGAGGTCCTTATTAATAAAATTTCCAATTTGTTACGTGTTTCGCTTTGGTTAGTTAAAGTGAATTTTGCTTGTAAAAATATTAGATATTCCGGAGGAAACTCGAATTGGCGCGACAGGGTTTCTGCCATCCTTTGCGTTCTCTATACACTCATGTCCATAAATTAAGGATAATGCAAAATCAGGCAAAGGAAGAGTTAGAAGCAAAACAAATTTGACTTATTTGTAAAGCTTATTTATTAAACAAAAGGTAAAGAGCAAAAAAAGATGCTACATGTTTGATATTATTAAAAAAATTAGCGATTTTTTTCCCTGGAGCAAATTACAAAAAAAAAAAAAAAAAAAAAAAAAAAAAAAAAAAAAAAAAAAAAAAAAAACAAAAAAAAAAAACAAAAAAAAAAAAAAAAAAAAAAAAAAAAAAAAAAAAAAAAAAAAAAAAAAACTATTTTCAAAAATCCCATATTACATGGTTGGTATGATTGTCAATACATTGTATGTCTCCCAGACGATGCAATACAGTCCGTACAACGCCTAGGCATGCTGAGAATCAAATTATCGATCTGATCTTGGGGGATATTACACCACTCAAAAAGGAATGCTCTCCGAAGTTCCGGTAGACATGTAGGAGGAGGTTGACGGGCTGCAACACGTCGGCCAAGCATGTCCCACACGTGCTCTACTGGATTCAAGTCCGGTGAGAATGCTGGCAGGCCATACGGTTGATATCCTCCGATTGAAGGCATTCGCTTACGATGTGAGGGCGGGCGTTGTCATCCATAAACACAAATTGTGCGCCCATGGCGCCCCGAACCAAACGTACATGTTGTTCTAGAATGACGTTCCGATAGATTTGGCTTGTCATGGTTCCAATTGGAACATGCAGGTCAATTCTGGAACCCAGAATAATTCTACCCCAAACGAGCACTCCTGCACCACCGTAACGGCGTCGTTCAATGATGTTTTCTTGGTGGTAACGGGTACCTGGAGCTCTCCATATGAAAGAATCAGACTGCAAGCTAAACCTGGACTCGTCGGAAAAAACATCACACAAGCCCACTGTTGCGGTGTCTACAATGCCTGCTCTCTACTCCCGGCTAACCGCAGGCGACAGTGAGTTGCAGTAAGTGGAACGCATCTGACAGGTCTACGAGAATATAGACCAATCTGCCCTAAACGTCTGTACACGGTCTGCCTTGAAATTGTGGTGGCAGTAGCTGAAGAGAGCTGATGAGGCAGGTCAGAGGCTGTGCTCCGCCTGGTTCTTCTGGCAGTAACTGACAAATACCGGTTCTCATTCGGCGTTTTAACTCTGGGGCGACCTGTGCTGTAACTGACAAATACCGGTTCTCATTCGGCGTTTTAACTCTGGGGCGACCTGTGCTGTAACGTCTACTCACATTACCATCATCTTGGAATCCTTGCCAAAGCCTGGAGATGGCACTCTGGGCAATTCCAAGTTCGTCTGATACTTCCATTTGGGTACGCACACATTCCAGACGGCCGATAATTCTACCACGTAAAAAATCATCCAAATGCGTCCTTTGTGTCATAACTATTCGGCTATTGCACTGAAATGCATATCAAGGGCCTGTGAACAATTTTACTTCTTTGCCTGTATTCCTTATATATCACTCTCGTCATTGTGACGTACCATCGGTGTTATCTGGTTACTTCCTGAAATTTGCACATGATTCTTGAAGATGTGTGTATTGATTTTACAGGTGATATATTTATTTTAGAGTTCGATTTCCGCTTGACTCCTAATTATTCTTAATTTATGGACATGAGTGTAATTGAGTGAGTTACCCACAACATATCGCTGGAAGCAACATTTTACGTTCTGCAAGTGCTCTTAGTTTTTCATACTGCTTTCACAACATTTCCAAGAAATAATGTGGTTGACTTGAAGTTACGGTAAATGTTTCTAAACCTGATAAGCTACATAACTTGTTAAACTCATCATTGAGAAGAAATTCGGTAAGGTGTTACGAAACGAAAATTGTTGATTTGGGCAATTACTAATTTAAACTGCATTTGTCGCGCATTAAGTTTGTAGCTCCCTATTTAGTGTCTGATTAAAATATCCCCTTTATCTATTTTATGGTATTCATTACCACAAATCATCAAATAAGATTTTAAATAAATATTTATTTTTTTAAGTTTGGCTAAGTTTCAGCTTGTTGTAAAATCTTAAATTTAAATCTCCGAATGACTTGGGGAAAGGAGGAACTGTCATAAAGTGTCTGAATACTTCTGCGAATTTTTGCATCTAGAAGTAAGGAAGAATTTTTTTAAAGAATTTTCCCGGCCACATCATTGAAGTTATTTTTACAAGTTTTTCAATGAATTATGGAAAGCATGTAAGAGCTGTATGTGTAACAGGAGGAGTGCTTTCCCGGAGAACTTTTTAAGGGAAATCGGGTCGTATTAACATTATAGATGGGGAGAGAAAATATGTAAACCGGAATTCAAACTCTAATGAAACTACCGGTGTTATCAATCACATTCGTTTTGGGCACTGCTAATGTCTAATTGTTTTTATAAACTACCGCTCATTGTTTTAAGGAATTTTACAACTTTGTAACGTTATTTTAATTTTATTAACAGTTTTAATTTTGAGTTAAACTTCTTTCCTATCATATCTTTAACTTACGACCTCCTGCCAGAACGTAGTTTTAGAATCACGTCTGAATATTTAATGAGGAGGAGCGGTATTTAAACCGCGAAGTTCTACTTGCTGAGTTTGAGAGAATCAGAGTTTCTGATTTGCGCGCGTCTGCCTTTTGACTACTCTCTTTCAAATCTGTTATTACGCGCGGCCTTACTCAGGCCCTTGATAGCTTCGCAGTCATCTCGTGTTTAAGGGGCCAACTGCATTAAAACTTTGATAGCTTCGGCTATATCTCTTTAGTTTAAAATTAGTTTTAGTTTATTTCTTTATCGCTTAAGGGGTGTTGGAATCATATCTTCAAAAAAATTGTGATTTTGGATTTTTGCATTTTCAAATTCTATACACTTTTATCTTTCTAAAAATACCATTCTTTAATCTCTTTGAAAATTAGAATTGTAAAAAATCTAGTTTTAATATGTCATCTACTGCGTTGATGAATGAGGAATTTTACATAAAAACGCGTTTTTCTCCAAACGTGATTTTTTTTATAGTCGATGTACCTTTTCTCAGGATTTACTGCTCACAGGTATGTAAACTTTTTATGGCTTATTTATTAGGTTCCCTAATATTTATTGAAATAGGCTTTTTGTAATAAACTTAGAAAAAAAAATTTAAAAAAAAATTTTTGTGTGAGAAAAGTGCTAAATTTTACCATGCCTAACAAAATATTCTGTAATTTACTCTAAAATTCAAAATGTTTCAAAAGCTCATTTCAGTATAATCAGATAGGTATACTTTAATTACACAGAAAATTTCAAGCTTGTATCTACAGCAGATTTTGCGAAAAGGTACATCGAAAATGGCCAATTTAACAATTGTCGGTATAGGGGTTTCTGATACCCCTTAAGTTCAAACTCAAGTGTCGGCTTTCATTGTACACTCCAAGACGGAGTTCTGCTAAATCTTATTGAAATAATAAAGGGTTAGTTACCCTTCCATCTTGTTGTTTCTTGTCACACGAACTTAAGCGATTATTCGCTTAGCAGCTCTTAAGATTCTTCATTTTCTACAGTAACTGAGAAATACACAAGGGAGAATCCCACAACTTAAAGACATAACTGACATCAATATACATATCCAAAAACATATCAGTATACATATGTATGAAAAAGGCACATTTTTCGAACATTTCGTAAAAGTTTTCAAGAAATGGAGGTTGTACAAAATTTAGTATGACTTTATGGAAGTAACAGGTAGCTTAACTGTTCAAAATACTAATCTATAAATCATGGCTCTAATTATTAAAACGTCCGCATTTCGTTCCCAGGTTGGTCCAACTCAAGAATGTAGCCGAGCTCTTATGAAAATGACCTATTGCCCTCACTGCAGTGGATTGCCAGATTTGAGGCCTTGTTCCAACTATTGCCTCAACGTAATGAGAGGCTGTCTCGCTTACCATGCGGAACTACACCAAGAGTGGAGCAACTATATAAGTAAGTAAACAAATATTTTTTCGTAGAGTTTTTTATGATTTCTTTTCCTTTTAGTTTTTGTACGCCTTGATACCTTCACTTATCAAGGGAAACAAAAATTGTTAAAAAGATTATTGATAACTTTTTCGCACTGGAAGTTTGTTCAGCTAGGCAACGTAATTCTCGCTTGTGTTTAAAACTTTCAGTGGGTTTAGACCAAGAACGTGAATGATAGTTATCTTATTTTTATACGATTGCGTTATTATAATAAGAAATTTTGCATAAAAGTGTTATTTTATCAATGTTTAGTCCAAAAGGAGCTTTGTCCCTGAAGGATTATTGCTTTCGATTTTGCGTTGAATCACTATAAATGTCCGTTTCACTTTTCAAGCTGTTGCCACCAAATGTTAGAGTCCTGCATTATGTTTGAAGAAATTAGATAATGGAAAATCTGCACAAATGAATGTCTGGTTTTCGCATTGGGATAAAACAGCGGTACATAGAGCCATCGAATTTTGAATGACGTAATCCTCCCACGAATATGAGCATGTGGAAGACCAAATTTGAAATTTGGAATTTTTTTTTATTATCGATTTCATATTTTGTAAACGTTTAACGAATTTTTGATTAACAAACTCAACGATTTAAAAGCGAGCAATGGCAACACTCTACGAAGAAAAAAAACAACCTTTTTATCTCCAACGCGCAGAATTGTGTATCGGAAATTCTAAAGATAGGCTCATTTTAAAATTATTTTGCGACATTGCTTATTGAACTGAATTTTATGGTTTAAGTGCAAAGAACATGATATTTAATAAATAAAGCTAACACACAAAACGTTAAAAAAACGCCCCTTTGGACGTAATTTAAAATCTGAAGTCTTTCAGACTTTTTAAATATATTTTTAATGCTAGTATAATTTTCAAACTGATTGCGTATCAGAAATTCTTTGCGAAACGTAATTATAAGGAAATGCAGAAGAATGAAACAAACAAATTTTTAATTTCCTTTTTATAAAAAAAAAAAAAAAAAAAAAAAAAATGCTATGTAATTTCGAGTAAGTATACATTATTATATACAGTATACGTCGTATGCATTCTTGACGGTCTGTTTTAAAAGCAGTGTTTATAACAAGCTGCCATGAAATATGATTCTCTGTAGTTTTAAAAGATCTTTTTGTAGCTTTAAATGTTTGAAATACACTGTAAATTGCATGTAAAGGTTTAATTTTGTGCTTTTCATGAAGAATGTAATTAGATGTTCGCACTTTAATTTGTCTGAGCTAACGGAGACATCTGGCACAGCTGACGCTCGTCCTAAATCAGTTTTTCTTCATAGTGGAGCTATTTGAAAAATTTGAACTTTTCGCCAAATCTATAGCCAAATCTATAGCGGAGCTAGTCGACTCATGGAACTGATTCCGTTAGCTCAGATAAAACCGTTCACAGTGGGATTTATTTGAGTTAAAGGAGACATCTGATATAGCCGACGTAGCTCTAAAACCAGTTCTTCCTCATAGCGAGTACTTCAGATTGACATAAAGCTGAATATGTAAAAACATTTAGACAGAATCTTTATATCACTTCTTTGCACGTACTGTCAGCGAAGTTCGGCTTATGCCACTTGTAAACACTGCATAAAATCACGCTTCAAAGACCTAGTAATAACAGTCTGAAAGACTGTTTCCTAAGTGTTATAGTTTACTCTCAGATCCCAAATATTGCTCCTGTCTGTAAAGGTGAGCGTAGCTAATCATTTAGAGCAAAAGTAGGAGATGGCATACTCTGCCAATAGGATCGATGACTCGAGCTACCTTGGCATCCTGTTGGAGCTACCTGTTAGACATGGTAGCCTAAGCAGAAATGTAGAAAATGTTTTGGCATGCTTGGGTTTATTTCTGAATCTAACAAGTTTGCAGAGTCATTAAGATTTTTGCAGCAGCAGACGTGATAAATGGAGCAATGCCCTCGCTGGAACTCGAACCTAGACCTCTCAATTATTCGCCGAGTGTGCTACCGTTACACCACGGAAGGCATACAGAAAGGAAGGAGAAAATACTCATCGCCACAATCCATCACACTGAGGGCTGCGCGAGGAGCCCTTCCCCCCCGGCACAGCTCTTAATGTCTACATGAGAGCGTCCCCACAGCGAAGGCGACAGACACGACAGCACCAGTACGGTCCCTGCCGGGCCTGCGCCTACCATAAAATGGACCTATGGTTCTAGTCCTGTGAAGTCTGATTATATACCCAAGAGACCGAAGCTGTCAGGACACAAGTCCAGCCAGTGGTCTGGGAGAACCCCGGGTCTCCTCCCATAAATGGCCGGTTCCGGAAATTCCCACCAGTCGATTCCCTGGGATCGGTTTGCCCAGCGTCATTAGCTATACGAGGCTGGGCCTGGATTATATGCATTATATTTGAAGGGAATTTTACAAAGGCTTCGTATATATTGACCAAGGCTTCGTATAGTTTCCAGCGGGGCCACGAGGAGGCTGACGCTGAGCTGTGGGAGACGCAAGCAGGCGAACCTGAAGCCAATCCCACAGCCCCTGCCCATCGATCAAACGCCGGGTCTCCTGCCTCCCGCCACTGCCTACGACGATCGCCCGCGCACGGTTCACGCCGAATACAATGGTTTCTGGCCTGTTCTGGACATCCGACCCCCCGGGTCAGGGAACCGGCAGTTCAGGCTTTGGATCAAACACCAGGTCTCCTCCCGCTACGCGGTCTGTTCTGGATATTTGTACCGGTTATCACCATAACCGGCACAAATATCATAACCGCATACAATGGTTTCCAGCCGGTTATAACCATAAGACCAGCTTGTTTGGTTAGGTGTGTCGGCCTGCGCCCTTATCAAATAAGTTATATACTCCCCCTTTTAAAAGACGACTGGGGATGAGGAGAAACAATCGGCAAATCCTGGTGTAACGGTCCGCGGTCCACAAAATAACGCTCTCGTAGGTGGCCTTTTAAAGGAAGAGTTTATAAGGGACCAGAAGTGGGCGCAGCCCGACTCACCTGCAATACTGCGTTGTGTAACGGTCCGAGTGCGCTACTGTTACACCACGAAGGCATTCGGAAAGGAGGCAGAAAATACCTTATATACTACTCCTGGGTGTGGCCGGTTATGACCAAAAGACCGACTTGTTTGTTTAGGTGGGTCGGACTGTGCCCACTTCTGGTACCTTGTATACCCCCTTTTAAAAAAATATTGGGGAGTAGGAGACCTAATCGCCAAATCCTGGTGGACGAATTATCGTCCACAACCTTTTAGTTCGAGCTCTACTTTATTGTCATTAGATTATTTTGAAGCAGCAGACATGAAAAATGAACAATGCTCACTTCTGGCTCTCGAATACGCTCCGAGTGCGCTATCCATTACACCACGAAGGCATGCTGGAAGGAAGGAGAAAATTTTGAGAAATCTTAAGCAGTGTGACCATAAATTTATAAATCAACCTTTTCTCTGAAGTTTACAGTTATTTTTGTTATGCCTATATTCGAAGATAATAGCATTATAAATATCCCGTTATCAAATTTTCTGCTTCTCAGACTTTTATCTGAATGGGACAGTTGCAATTAATATAACTGGGTGTTCAGCAGGTTGCAGGAAATCGGAGCCAGTTTAAGTAAATTATATTTCATATTTAGAGATAACCAAGGAACTTAATGGCGGAGTTCCAAACTAGGGAAGCGAGCGAAAAATGATGATCCACCCATTTTCTATGCTTTTTTTTTTTTAAAAAAAAAAGAGTCGGGTTTAAAAAAAAAAATAGGAACTTTTGAAACGGTTGATTATGAACTCATATTTCATCAATCATCTCAGTATCTGCTCTTCTGTAATCTTTGCAGTTCTAGGTTCTTCCTTTCCTGTTGTTGGAATGAGAATCCCCTTGTCATGTATCAGGTTATCTGCGCTTATTTAATGCGCTAATGCATATTCACCAGATAAATTAACTAAGCACTGATAGTCAAATTTCATTAATCATGTTGTCACCGCCGCAGATAGTTGCGTTTCTGGGAAGAATACCGTTACCATGGCGACGATTCTGTGGAATCCTTGGTGGAGTTCGCTCTGGTAAAGGGCAGATTTCAAGAGGCGTTATCTTGCGTTTTAATTTCAGGCGCATGTTGTTAATAGCATTCATGGCGCTTATTTAAAATTGTTTTTTAAATTATTCGTCTCCTAAATGGAGATAAAGTTTTCAGTAATTTTTGCATTCTGTTAGTTTCGCTTTATGAATGAATTCTCTTCAAACGTATTTAAATCTTAAAATTATGCAAAATTCAATTTTACACCGGCATAGTTTCATTACAATGCTCTATGCAGTTTGGAGGAATGTCCCTTCTTCACGAAGCAAAAATATTCTCTGCCTTTTTGCCAGAAATACATCAGACGGATGGAGGAAATTAAAAAATAAACAATATTCTTACTAACTATGTGCATTTATGGATAATTTTAGTGTTATTTTACGTGAAATTGTTGCATTTTTCTGTCTGTATAACGCACCATGAAAAGCTTGACAAAAACGATGCTCTGCTGGAAAAATAAGAATAGATGGGCAGGTCTATTTAATAATGAGTAATCTCCCTAGTTTGGTCAGATATCGCCAAGTTGGCAACGGTTTGGGCATCAAAAATTAGTCGCCAAATTTGGCGGCAATTTGTGACATTTGGGTGCGGTCCCTGTATGACCGTAATACATTTGTAATACATCATTGTAATATGTATTGTAATACATTTGGTATACACAGGTATTGTATTACATTTATTGTAATTGATCACTATGTTAGCTGTAACAATAATTCGGCCCCCATATGCCTTCCAGTAATTTCGAAAAGCAGAAAGTACTGGAAATATCTCGGTGGTTGAGTGAAAACTATATAATACCCGAGACAGCGTTAGTTGTGAGTTCAACATGGCTCGGTATATTGAGATATCTCTGTGTTAGCTTCGCTTTTCAACTGCGCTTTGCATTAAGCTGTGTTTAACGTCTTTAAAAGTCTGAAGTTTAA